AAGGTCCGGTTAGCCCTGCCACCCATGACCTCGCATTGTCGGCCCATGTTCATCTTGGAGTCAATAATGACACCAAGATCCCTTTCCGCCTCCGTGCTCTCAAGTAGGGAGTTCCCCATCGTATAAGTGTGCTGCTGGTTCCTACTACCCAAGTGCAGCACCCTGCACTTGTCCGTATTGAAACACATCCTGTTCCTGTTTGCCCACCCCTGTAACCTATCCAGATCCTTCTGCAATCTCTCTCTCCCTGCTAGCGTGCTCACCTCCCCCCAAATTTTGGTGTCATCAGCGAATTTAAACAGGTTGCTCTCCACCCCAACATCAAGATCGCTGATGAAGACATTGAACAGCGCAGGGCCCAGGACCGAGCCCTGAGGGACTCCACTACCCACCTCCCCCCAAGTCGAGTATGATCCATCCACCACCACCCTCTGAGTGCGACCCTTCAGCCAATCTGCAATCCATCTGACCGTGTAGGCGTCTATGCCACAGTCGCCTAGTTTATTAATTAGGATGGGGTGAGAGACGGTGTCAAAGGCCTTGCTGAAGTCCAGAAAGACTACATCCACCGCGACACCTGCGTCCATGGCCTTTGTGACCTGATCATAAAAGGCAATCAGGTTGGTCTGACATGATCTCCCCCTAATAAATCCATGCTGATTGCCCCTGAGCATCATTTCTGATGCCGGCCCGTCACAAATGTGCTCCTTGATGATCTTCTCAAAGAGCTTCCCCAGGATTGAGGTAAGACTGACGGGCCTATAGTTGCCCGGGTCCTCCCTTTTCCCTTTCTTGAAGATGGGGACCACATTAGCTACCTTCCAATCGTCTGGCACCTGGCCCAAGCACCACAATCGCTCGTAGAGCCGTGCCAGGGGCCCTGCAATAACCCCAGCCAGCTCCCTCAGCACCCTGGGGTGGAGAGCATCCGGACCCGCTGACTTGAACGCGTCCACCCCTCCAGAAGCTCTCTAACCCGGTCCTCCCCAACCTGAGGTCTGAAGGCGATCCCCTCGTGTCCGGCTTCTATCACAGCAGGGAAGTCCTGGTCCCTGCACAAGAAAATGGAGGTGAAGAATTGGTTAAAGAGGTCCGCTTTATCCTCTGACGCAACCACCAGATTGCCCAGCGTATCATGCAGGGGCCCCACATTACCCGGCGCCTTCTTCATCCTCCCAATATATCTGAAAAAGGACTTTTTGTTATCCTTAATCGTGGACGCTAATCCGAGCTCTATATCCGCCTTGGCCTTCGTAACAGCCCGCCTGCAGGCCCGAGCAGAGGAGGTACACAAGGCTGGATAGGAACCCTTAGAGCATTTAATCCAGTTCCCTGTGTTCATAAGCATTTATCTCAGGAATCCCCCAAATCATTACTTGGGCCCTCACATAGGACTACAAGGCACAAAGCCCCAGGCATCAGCACTACCCTGTAGCAGGCCACAGGTAAAAGCAAGAGAGACCAGGTCACTGGTAATGCCTGCCCCTGCAGTGTCTGAGAGCTAGATGGTTACTGTACACTCAGAAGAGCTTCAGAAAAGGTTTGTGCTCTACACTACATGAAATCACAGAAAATTTGGATGTGAAGGGACCTCAGGAGGTCACATCTAGTCCAACCCCCTGCTCCAAGCAGGACCAGCCCCAACTACATCATCCCAGCCAAGGCTTTGTCTAGTCAGGTCTTAAAAACCTCCAAGGATGGAGACTGCACCACCTCTCTGGATAACCAGTGCTTTACTACCTTCCAAGTTAAAAAGTGTTTCCTAATATCTAGCTTCAACTTTCCTTGCTGCAACTGGAGCCCATTGCTCCTTGTCCTGTCATCTGCCCCCCTGAGACCAGTCCAGCTCCATCCTCTTTGCAGCCCCCCTGCAGGGAGGTGACGGCTGCTATTCAATCCCCCTCGGTCTTCTCTTCTGCAGACTAAATCAGTCCAGTGCCCTTAGCCTCTCACAACAGTGGAAGGCAAAACCCCACAGTTGAAGCCAGTCTGATGTGAAGGTAAAATTCCCTCCTGACCACAAATATGTGATCAGTGTGACGCTGAGTGGCAAAGCAAGACCCTCTCTCCAGGATGCTTCTAAGGGTTTTCCAAACTCAGCACAATTATCAGTATGTTCCAGTCAAAAGCTTCCAACTTTATCTGTAGCCAACATCTCAATGCTTCAGAGGAAGGGGAAGAAAAAAAAAGATTAGGATTAAAAAAAAAAAAAAGATTGTTTAAAAAAAATAAAAATAAAAGATTGAAAACAGCACCTTTCCAAACCCAGCATAATGCTTTCCTTGCCTAACTGGTGTTTTGGGGGCATGTGTTGCCAGAAACCTCTCATGGTACAAGAGACGTACCTATATGTTCCAACCTGGGGACTAACAGCACAACTCCAACAACTCTGTTGAGCCAAAACTCTCCGTCTTATCACACCATCTCTGCCATTAACTTATCCAGCTGCATCTTAAACTGGTTCAGCATCTCTCTTCCCACTACCTGGTGTGGGGAAACTATCCCAAAACTTTGGCTGTTTAGGCATTTTCTTTGAGTTTGCAATCTAAATGTAGCTGTAGTCCGTGGTACACCTACCCAAGATGTTTACTGTGACGCTGCCTAATTAACTCCACAGCCAAATCTCAGCGTCTACACGTGCGGCCCAGTTAGGCTGCAGGAAATGAATTAACTCCGCCGCAGGTTAGTACTTGTAAACACAAGTCCTGTCCTGAAGCCGAGTTATTTAGTGCACAGCAGTGCATGTATAGACACTGGCTGGGGCACGAGGGGGGTAGCCCTGCACTGGAGTACCTTTGTGCCCCAGCCAGCCTCTCTGCAGCACATTGAGCTGGGCTGGAGCAGCCTCGGCAGGCTGACCCCCCCACAAACCACCTGCCAGCCAGGGCTGCTCATATAAATGCCGCACCCAGGAGCAATAAACTCCAGGTTGATATGCCTCAGAGTTTATTGCTCTGTGCAAATTGCTCGTGTAGATGCACTCAGTGTGTAGCCATTTGATCTTGTGTTGTTTTATTTTTTTCCCCAGCCTAAAAAGCTCCTTCTCTTTCTTCATATTTACTCCATGAATGTACCTATTAAGAGGGAACATACACCCCCTCAATCTCTGATTTGCTAAACTACACAAGCTAAGCCCCTTTCATTTTCTCTGATAAGAAAAAGTCCCCATTCTCTTCTGTTGGCCCTATTTTGACCTCCTCCCAGTGACCAGAACTGCATACAGTATTGCAAACAGGGTCTCACCAGTATATTGCACCATGACACTAGTACTTCCTTGCCTCTACTGCAAATACCCCATCTACTACTTGCTAAGATTGTGTTTGCTTTTTTTTTTTTACAGTATGTTGCACTAGTGGCTCATGGTCATCCTGTGATGAACTACCAACACCCACATGCCTCTTCTTCTCAAAATGTCTCTAGTCTATGCACTATTTTATAGCTCAAGCTCTTGTTATTGGTCACATTTATAGCTCAAGTCCTTGTTACTGGTCCCTAGGTGCATGGCTTTGCACTTCATCCTGTTAAACTTCATTCAGTTCATTCCTCAGTACTAATCTAGCCCTCTTCTATATTGGAAACACCCCTCAGCTTAGCATCATCTACACATTTCATGAAGATGCATCTGGGTCCAGTACCAGGGTTGCTGATGATCTTGTTAAGCAGGATGGGAACGCTTTAGGTAGCATCTCTCCACTCAGATAACTCACCCTCCAAAATAACCTCCCTTTGAACCAGCTCCTTTTCCATTTCACAATTATGACCTTGATCCCTGTCCTCTCCAGTTTGGTCAGTAATTTCCTAACTAGGCAAAATATCAAAAGCAGTAGCCTTAACCAAAAAGCTCATTCCTTGTCATAGGAAGATTAGTGTGACACGATCCTCCTCTGATAAGCCCCCTGTTGTGTTTTGTCCTATTTTCCATTTCTTTCCAAATCTTTAACTGTTTCCTTTGGTATCTGTTATAAGACTTTGCCTCTATTGAAATCAAGCTAAAATCATAGTCATTACCTGTAAATTTTTGATTCTTTGATTTTTTTTTTTTTTTTTTTTGGTACACTCCCAGGGAATCCCCCCCAACTCCTTTTTCAGACATGAAAGTCCTGCTTTTGTTTTGGGGTGGTAGTTCATTTCAACTGCTGCTGAAGAAACAATTATAAGAAATGCATCTTGTATAGGAGTTAGCAGTACCCAGAGCTCATTTTCAATTTAATAGCTAGAAATAGCAGGAAAATCTTCCTTAAAACACTCTGTTTTATTACTTTAAAGCAGTGGCTCTCAACCTATTTGCCATAGTGGGGCACACTTGCAGCTCTCAATGTGTTATGTGCACCGCATGTGCACAACTGTCCTAGTGTGCACATGTGGTTAAATGGTGTATCCATGTAACAGGATGTCACATGAGCCACAGCAGTGTGCTGATTGGGCTGCATGTGGCCCACGCACCATGGGTTGAGAGCCCCTGCTTTAAAGAAACATGGATGCATGTGTGAGCCATCGAGGAATGAGTAAGGGTTCAACTTTCTCACCAAATAACAGGAAACCACTGGTATGATGTGTATTTAAAACAGCTGGACTATTCCTGATACTTGACAAATGTTATTTTATCTGAGTAAGCTTTAAAAAAAAGGACAAGGAAATCTGAAAAAAAAAAAAAATGAAAAAGGGAAAATAAAAGTGTAGAATGAAATACCAACTAGATAACAATAATGTGTTTTAATGTTATCCTCATACGCTATTATATTATTATAACACCTAGAAACATCACCACGCACCAAAACCTTCTTGGGCTCAGGGCTGTGCAAGGATAGATCAACACAAAACAATTGTCCCTAAAAATCTTCCAGTCCATTTTCAAAGATTGGGTAAATGACACCCCTGTCATGAGACTTGCCTGCTGTTTTCCAAGAAGATCTGAACTTTCACCTGCCTGCAAATTGCATGTCAATACTTTATCCGCTCTATAATCTGTGACTACATCTGGGTTGTTTCTCTGTTTCCAGATCTGGATGATCCAATAGTGACAGTTCATCAGAGCATAGGGGAAGCAAAAGAGCAGTTCTACTATGAGAGAACGGTGTTTCTCAGGTGTGTTGCCAACTCCAATCCGCCTGTTCGGTACAGCTGGCGGCGTGGTCAAGAGGTATTGCTGCAGGGGTCCGACAAAGGAGTCGAAATTTATGAACCCTTCTTTACCCAGGTAGGAATCGAGGTACAGTATTTCTTTTTTTTTTCTCCCTTTACACAATGCTTTCACCTTCACTTCCATCTTAAATATTAACCCACTAGGAAAGAAATTCCCTCCTTCCATTTCCAACTGCGCGTGTGTTGCTCTACCCTGCCCACACTTCTCAACGTATCTGTTATATACTGCAGAGGTTTTCATCAGGTTGTTTTGTTTTATGTGTAAGAGCTGGAGGGAATGAGAAGCCAGATGTTGTGTAATATAGTGAGAGCTTGGGATCTAATCCCTTGAAACTCCCCTCCTGCCAGTGAAGATCAACAGGATCATAGGAAAGTAGGGCTGGAAGGGACCTCACAAGGTCATTTAGTCCAGCCCGCTGTGTGGGGCAGTATCGTCTCTGGCTGGACCATCCCAGCCAAGTGTCTGTTCAACCAGCTCTTGACCATTTCCAAGGATGCAGATTCCAGATGTTTTCTAGGCAGCCCGCTCCAGTGCGTGACTACCCTCACAGTCCGAAACGTCCTTCTCCTTGCCAACCTAAGTTTTCTCTGCTATAGCCTGAGGTCATTGTTCCTAGTCCTCTCCCCTGTGGTCACAGAGAAAAGCCCATCTCCACTCTCTCTCTAATGTCCCTTCAGTTATTTGAAGACTGTTATTAAATCCCCCCTCAGTCTTTTCTTCTCCAGGCTAAATAACTCTAGTTCTTGCAGCCTTTCCCAGTACATCCTGATTCCCCGGCTCCTAATCATTTTTTGTTGCTCTATGCTAGCCTCTTTACAATCTCTTGTTGGGGCTGGACTCCATGATCTTCTGAAGTCCCTTCCAGCCCTAATGTCTATGAAATCTGTCCACATCCTTCTTGAGGTGTGGGGTCCAAAACTGGACACAGTACTGCAGGTGAAGAGCCTTTAGTGCTTAATACAGCAGAAGAAACAATCCCCTTGATTTACAAGTGATATTCCTGTTGGTACAACTAGGATGCTGTTGGGTTTTTTGCAACAAGAACACCCAGTTGGTGCATGCTGAGCTCATGGCAACCCCCAAGTCATCCTCTACAGTACCACAGTCTAGTCAATCGTTCTCAAGTTTGTACTTGTGCGTGCCATTATTCCATCCAAAGTGCAGAACTTTGCACAATTTCCCCCGAAGTACTCACTATTAATGGAGACAAGGTTATCTGAGTAATGTGATTTCAGAGCTGAGTGATTGAAGAGCAGAAGCCCCTTGAAAAGTCCAGAAGATTTGTGCTCTGTAGTCACTGCGGTTCTTTGTTATCCGTCCCAGAGACTAATACTATGGAAGAGGCTCTTTAGTCGGTCAGATATAGTTAGTTTAATTTTTCAGATAATGAGACAGCTGCACAAAAATGGACATTCATTTTCTACCCTGAGATCCTTAACAGGCCCTGTCTGGGTTTTTGGCTTATGATATAAAAGCCAGATGCATTTGAGGACTCTAGTCCTTAATATCAAAGGGAAAAGAAATAGTGTTTTAGACCAGTGGTTTTCAACCTTCTTTGGTTTGTGGACGCCCCCCAAAAATTGAATGGAGGTATGGACCCCTTTGGAAATGTTAAATGCAGGTGAAGACCCTTTGGATTGTAAGTGTGGGTATTCAAATAATTTTGATTGATCACAGACATCTATCACGGACCCCTTAGATATAGTGTGCAGACCCCCAGGCCTCTATGGACCAAAGATTGAAAAATAAGCTTTTAAGCTAATTTTACCCCTCTCTGAATTTTATCCCTTGAGAGCTAAATACCCCAAATGAAAGGGAGTGTTTTTCCTGTATGCCAGGTTGGTAATATACCCTACAGGACAGGAGTGTGGATGTTTTTGAGTCTGTGGGAGCATTGTGCATGCCTATGGGAAACACAGCTCTGACCAGTACCATCAGCATGAAAGTGGCATTAAAAAAAAAAAAAAAAAAGCAGCAGACAGTCAACCCCTAACTTAGGGTAATCTTCCCCAGTCAAATGGATGATTTCTCCTGAAAGAATGAGGGGAAAACTCTACTAGTGTAGGATACACTGGGATTGGTGTTAGCTCTGTCCATCCTGGGGGAGTCATTTGCCGAAGGCAAGCAGCCTATTACTTGCTACTTTACTGCCTAGCAGGATGTCACAGTAATGGCTCTTACTGCATGCGATAGCTCAGGATGTTGCCCATCTGTCTATTCCTGATTCAAATGCAATTTACATTGGTATAGAAAACTGATATGGGGTACGCTGGAGTATGTGACCATCTGTCCCCACCCTGAGTGTGTATATTTCTATAGTAGCATTGCAATGTTGTAACACTGATGGTCCAGGAAATGTCTCAGAGGCAAGGATTTTTTGTGATGTCTTTTATTGAATCAACTGTATACATGGCAGAGTGGTTGGATATGCTTTTTAGCATCAAAGGTCCTTCTTCAGGTCTGGTAGAAGCAGATGCATGCTGAGATAAATAGGATCACAGACAAGGAGGGTTGGAAGGGACCTCAGGAGGGCACATCTAGTCCAACCCCTGCTCCAAGCAGGACCAGCCCCAACTACATCATCCCAGCCAAGGCTGTGTCTACTGGGTCTTAACAACCTCCAAAGATGGAGACTCAACGAGGTCTCTGGGCAACCTGTCCCAGTGCTTTATCGCCCTCCTAGTGAGAGAACTGCCTTCCTAGTGTTGTCATACTAAGAAAAAGCACTTCTATCATACTCTGGAGATATTTTTATAAGCATGTTCAGAGAATTTTTTTCTATTTTCAAGTTATTATACTACTCCCTAAACCCTGGTGGCAAGATCAGCAGCAGATATCAACAGGGGTAACTCCTTTGAAGTTGCTGTTGTACAAACGTAAGGATCTGACCCTGATGCCATAGCTGTTTTCCAAATGACCCCAGACTAGCTAGTGTGAAGTGACAGTGCATAGGAAGTGAAATGCTAAAAAAACTTTGGAAGAAGCTAAGGTCTATTGCAATCCTCTTCTCTGATTGTGACTTTTCACCCCCGTTTGAACTTTAAGTTTTGTTCCACATTCATCTGTTCCATTAAAGCAGGGGCTGGGAAAATGGAGAAAGGTGGTTTGCTCCAAAGTGTTTCTACTCATGTATGGATTGGAAGAACCCAAGCTTGTTGGCCATCAAAATGGTCCAATCCAATTTTTGAGTGCATTTGTATTTTTTGAAGACGGTAGAGCAATCCGTGTCCGAAAGGGCAAAGATCCTGTTTCTTTCAGCCAAACGTGAGTGACAGCAGTCCCAAAAAAGAAAAAGTTGGCGGGGTGTATTTTCAAAATTCAAACCAACAGTGAACAAAGCTATAAATGAAAAGCTGCTCAGGAAATCAGTCTCAGAGCAGAGAGCAACCTGCAACTTTCATAAACAATTCTGAGCTAATGATTTGAGAGCACCATCATTTTTGCTTTTTATTATACCTGACAGCTTTATATTGCTAAAATAGCTTGATATTCTACAGAGACATGGGCAGGCTGAAACCTAGCTGAGATGAGAATTAGATTGGGGAAGTAGAGTTATTGGGCTTCTGAAAGCAATGAGATTATTCTTAATTCACCATGTATGGACCTGGGTTAGGGAATCTGCGGTTTGTTTTCTGGGGAAGTGAGCACAGATGTGTAGCTTGGAGTCTTTTGACTGTTTAATTAAAAGTGAGAGGCCTCCTCTGAGGTGGGAATTCTTGACTAATAATGTGGAAATGTTTATTATCATCTCCTTTATGAGATAAGTTCTTAGTGGATGATAAAATATGTCACGTTAAATTACATCCCGCATTTTTCTTAAATATGGTTTCTAGGTTGCAAGGACTGTCCTCTGTACAGTTTTTGCCTGTGTTGAAGTAATGAATAAATCAGATTGTCACGTTAATAGTCAGACGCTTATCCATAACCTTTCTACATTTATTGGAGGTCAGGTTGAATTACTGTATCTTGGTCTGTGTTCACATGAGATGCGATACATGTTTAGAAGAGAACAAAATGTAATTAAAGGTTCAAGCATCATAAATGTCTCTCACATATTCTTGCATAATTGGTTCTCTTGATGGCGTGGTAGGAAACAGCAAGGGCCCGTGTGCAATGGGATAGGAGATATTTGGATTTAAAGTGTCTTGAGATATGCATTTGACAGCCCTTTTCCTGTTGATATGCTTGAGGCTGGATTGTCAGCCCGCTGCAAGGAAAACAAATGCGTGCAATATTTTAACTTCTCTCTGCTATGACAGCCAAAGAAAGAGAGGGAAGAGGGCAGAAAAAGCAATATATTGTATTCACATTTCCACTGTTTGCCCTGTTTCTTTTGACCTTCCTATTTCATTAAGTAATAGAAATCGAAGCATAAGCCACTTGAGTTTAAACATCCCATTATTAAGATGTAACACAGTGGTGGCCTGGCATTTTAGGGACCCTGTAACTCAAAAAATAGCTTTCAACTTTGAAAGTATTTCTTTTAGCAATTCAGTCTACATCAAGGATTACTTAACTCAGCTGCTGTGTGGGAAACCTGCTTGTGTAAAAAAACAGCTGAATTACTGGACTTTTAAATTTTTTTTAAGCTATAAACTTGCTGCACATTTTTTTTCGTCAGGATTTTCATCCTTGTCATTACATATTGTAATTGCACAGTTCAATTACAGGATTACATTTGCTGTATTTACACTAATTATGTAATTAGGCATAATTAGACTAATTACACAAATCAACTAAAATTATTTTTAACAAATCATAGCAATTCACACAACATAATCCACAATGAAGTTGTGGGATCTGGCCACAATTTCGGCAAGGAATTTCCAGCTCATGATTAAACATGCAAAATTCGCCCTGGACCTGATCTCCATCCGGTTCAGTAGGTTCGTTTCCTTTGCCTAATCTGAAGCCCTCTTGGGTTGGCCTGAATTATCCTTCGTTTAAAATAGGGGGTTTTTAGCCTGCATATTTTATTGTTGTGTGCCTTTGGAAGGTCTAATGTGAAGAGTGGATACTGCAGATGCTTAAACAGCTTGTCCTTAATTTTAACCTGGCAGCTTGGGTGGGACTAATTGTATGGTATAGTGTAGCCTGGTAGTACGTGTTTGGTACTGGACTCTCAGGTTGCTTTTAGGCAATTGCTTCCCTGTCCTAGCCCCATGCACTTTTCTTTTATTTCCTTCACATTTTGCTGATTAAGACATGTACAGGGGTCTTGAGTGTTGCCAGCCCATTTGGCCATCCAACCCCTTCTCATTTAACCCCGTGCAAGTGATGTGCATGCCGCCCTTTGGTTTAATTAAAACAATACACCAGGTGGTATTTTCCACAATCAAGTGGAAATCTTATAATAAGAGCTCTCTACTGTTTTCTCTCTCTTTCCATGTGTGGTCCCATTCTTACTTAATTTACTCAGAGTGTTTATACGTGTTAGTGAGGCAGGTGAATAATTATGGCGCTTTAACAATATAGGGCTTAGAGCTCATGTGCTCTGTTTCATTTGTCTGCTCTGTTCCCTTGCTAAGTGGAAGTTACAGTTCTGTCTCCATCAGGTTTAAAAGCTGCAATAGTCTAGTCCTAAAGCAGCATTGGAGTAGACAGGCTAAACGACTCCATGAGTTCAGCCCCTGAACAGCAAATCCCTTCCTAGCCCACCTTTGGCAATGGTTTAATGTTGCATTTGTGCATAACCTGGGCATCCTACATGGCAGAGCCATTCCTTACTATAGGGCCAAAAGAGGAGATAGGGCTTGATCGCACTTCAGCTTCTCCCTGGTAGCTAATCCTCTGTGCGCTCTTCCCCCCGTAGCAAGCAGAAGCTAAACGTCTGTAGCTTTACCCCCTCTTTCACGGAGGAAAGAGGGGGTAAATCCTCTTTCATCAGGATTTGTCGTCTTCTTCTAGTTGGCTGATGTCAGCTCAGATATGCTGGAAGTGGATAGTCTGAAGAGCAGATGCAAAGCTTGAAATATGTTTTTATTTCTGTGCTTAAGATTAATTGTGTATGCATGTTTCAACACAGCTTTATTTTATTTGGTGTATCCGTGGCACGCTGTTGTGCTAACTGAAAGAAAATTACCATAAATATGTTATAGTGTTCAAACGGCCTTGGGTTTTTATTTTATTTTTTTCCCCGTCTGCCTTGCTTCACATTGGCATTTTGTTGTTGTTGTTGTTGCTCCACGATGTCTTTGTTTTTGTTCTCGATTTAAAAGCAAGTCTTTGTATTTAACAGGTTTTCGGGGCGGGGGGTGGGTTCTGATCACATCTGATATCGCTTTGTCAAGGAAACATAAACACCTGGATCTGAACTAACAATAGTCTAAGATTTTGCCTACTTTTTTCATTAAAGTTTTTTTTTTTTTCTTTCCTCCAAATGTTTCTAGTCTTGTTATGCCCAATTCTTATAGCATTTTATATGAAAATCTCCTGCTTAGATACTATAATTTTCTTCAGTTTCTGTTGAAAAGAACTCCTTTATTAAATACTCTGTTTCAGATCATTGCACCATAATTTACATAAATACTGTCTAAAAATAAAATCATCGGGGAAGATGATTTAAAAAGGAAAACAACAGGATTTTTTATTTTATTTTATTATTTTATTTTTTTACAGCAGCTTCTGATTTTTGATTAAGTTGGGGGGTTTCTCAGTGGGTTTACTTTTACCTGATGTGAGGTGCAGTAATTATGATGGCTTCAGAGTTGCTTCTAAAACAAAAGCTTCTTTCCTCTTACTTCCTTTTTTTTTTTAAACAGTAAATGGGGAACAAAAAAATCCTCACACCATTATTTATATGAGACTCTGTGGGCATGTCCACACGAGATGCTAATGGCGCAGTAGACTAGTTCTACTGCTCATTAGTGCAGCACGAAAAAAGCTGCTAATGCACCGTAGAATTAGTCTACTGCACATTGGTGTCACTTAAAAAGCATGCCCCTGCACTAATGTGCAGCAGCACCAATTATGGAGCATTAAGTTAGTACCAGTGGGCATGTATACACGTGCATTTTTGTGCAGGGATGTGCTGGCAATCCAGCGGGTTGGAGCAGACTTCATTAATCGAGTCTGCTCCGCACGTGAGCAGACACGCATTGCACTACGACGCGTGTAGTTGTATAATGACACAAAATGCACGTCAATGCAGAGAAAACAGCGGTGGTGTAGACTAAAGCACCTATGATGTGTTTTAGCTCAACAGTGTCCCACCACCATTTTCTCAGTACTGACATGCATTTTGCTGCTTATACGATGGCATGTGCCTCAGCACCTGCCACAGCAGCATGTGCATGTGTAGAAATGCCCTGTGATTACAGGTACTAAACTTAATGCGTTGTAATTGTGGAGCATTCATGAGTGTGTAGGCATGCCCTGTATGTGGAAATGGGTTAGTTAAAATCAGCCTAGCCGTCTAGCACCTGCATCTACCTAGCCATCACAGTGCAATGCTTTTGTCACCTGGAAGTCTGCCTTTTCCTTTGACTTAATCTCTTCCTTACCTGCCCTTTCTAATGTGCACAGGGGGAAACAAAGATTCTGAAACTAAAGAATCTTCGACCTCAGGACTACGCTAATTACAGCTGCATCGCTTCGGTGAGGAATGTGTGCAACATCCCCGACAAGATGGTCTCGTTTAGACTCTCCAATAAAACAGGTATTCTCCGTAATAATCCACTCTCCCACTTGAGTCCGCCCTTTATGCTGTCTTCCTAAGAAGCAGACTACACAGGATTGTGCTCTTGTTTATAATCTGTATCGCTGCAGGCAGCTGCACCATCTTGCATCTCCATGTGCATTAAAACACTTTAGTTAATGCGCATTAAATCTAGTACTTCCATTGTGAGGTACTAGGAAAATGTGCATTAGCTTATCTAAATGCTCATTAACTAAAGAGCAAGGTTTTTAGCAATGCTTTAATGCACATTAGCAAAAGTGCATGGTGTGTTTGTTTTTTAGTGACACTTTAATGCGCATTAAAATAGGCTAATGCACATTAAAGCACATGTGTAGATGCTCCCAGTATCAGACTGTGTCTGGAAGAGGTGGGAAGAAGTAGCAAATGCAGATGGAGTGCACCTAGATTACGGATTTTGGTTCAGCCCTTGAGACACGAGGGGTCAGCTATGGATTTTTTTACTGGGGTTTGATATTGGGGGAAAATTCAGAAGTTTCCTTATTATTCTTCAGAGCTGCTTTAAAGTCAGTTTATGAAATCAGGTAGGGTTCAACCAGAATAAGGGTATTACTACATAGTGTAGACTCTGGGTAAAATGTTTTCTTATACACCCTCTGGGATCCTTAGAGAGCTGGTCAGGATTTTTCCTTTACAATGTTTTATTGAAACTAGGGCAAAAGTGAAACTTTTCATAGAAGGTTTTGCATTTACCAAACTGTCTTGATTTTATGTTGGGAAAATTGAAGCGATATATTCTGTTTGGGGTCTGGTCAACCCTGATAGAAACATTTCAATGTGTCACATCAACATGGGTTGTGCCAACCCAGCTAGAGGCTCATCTGCATCTCCTCAAGCTCCCTCATTGGGAAATGTAGTTTGTGTTCCCCAGAGCTCCATTTTCTACCGTTGGGGGCTGGACTGCATATCATATGATGCCTCTCTGTCTTTTCGCTGATGGAGCACCATGATGCATGATGGGATTCCCACGACAGTGTTGAATCATGGGAGATGAGAGCTGGTCTACCCACAGTTCAACACATCCCCATTTGATTGTGCAGCCAACCCAAACTTTTTGGATATCTGCACATTACGTCAGGGTCTCCTTTAGTAAAGCATGCTGCTACAAATTGAGAACTGTGAGACATGAACAAAGCTTCCAGTTGAACCTGGATGGAGGTCATCAGGAAGAGCTTGGGTGAAGTGTACTTTTGCATTGAGATTTGCACGTCTTGCATTATTTCTGCTCTCCGGGCTTGGCTTCAAAGCGTTACCCACAACTCCTTTTGGTATTTCTAATGGAAAAATGGAAGTGACATATGTAGTGTTGTAGCCTAAGGGCTCCGTTCTGTTCAGTAGTCGTTGTGTAAAGCAGGAAAGGATTCACTGAAATCTGCATGAGCATCCAACCGGGAGGCTGCAGTCACCTTCAGAGGCATGATTAAATAACTACTGCAATGCTTAATTAAGAACTAATGTACTTTTTAATTGACAAGAGAGTAAAGTCCTCATTTGCTCTTGTATAACCACATAGAAGTTAAGTAGCATTACTCTAGATTTATGTAGAAGAGCAGACTTTGGTTATATGGGTTCTTACAAATCAGTTTTTTCCTGCATATTTGTTGTCTTTTTAGGCGACTTCACACATGTGCATTGTAGAGATATGTCAACAGGAGACACAAAATCTGAAAAAGGAACAGAGTGGCTATAAAGTGGCTATAAAGTGACAAATAAATGCGGTCATTTGTATAGGCTCCTGCTATATTTAATGAATGCAAGTGGTTGCAGGTGAATTTCAGGTCAGTCCTTTATTATACAGTGAAAATGTGTCTTTGGCATTGCCGATGACAGGACTGTTCTTCATGCATCTACTTAAGGGACCAAAAGTGGCAGAAGAGTTTTTGTCAAAGATTATAACAACATTAGAGATATGATGGATGAGAACATATACTTGCTAATGTTGGTATAAGCCACGGGCTTCCATTGTTTTCCTACAATGAATTGGGTTGGTGGGTCCAGAAATGTGTGAGATGTGCAAAGTGTTTCATGATTTGTCAAGTTTGCTTTGACTGAGGGACTCATTGGCAGAGCTCCCTATTGCAGGGTGTGCTCAGATCGGGGATGCTGAGTCTCACTGGCTGGCCTGGCACCCAGAGGATGTTCCAGAGTGGTGCAGGGTATATTATAATTTGTGGTGCACCCCTGTTGATCGACCCAAGTGATTCATGTACTTTACTGGGCACTGGTGAGGCCTCACTTAGAGTACTGTGTCCAGTTTTGGACACCTCACTTCAAGAAGGATGTGGACAGATTGGAAAGAGTCCAAGGCAGAATGTCAAAAATATTAGGGGCCTGGGAAGCAGGACTTCTAGGGAGAGGCTGAAGCAGCTAACAAGTGGTATCTAGTCTGGGAAAGAAGGTGTGTGTATGTGTGGTGGGGGGAGGAGGGATTTGATAAGTGTTCAAATACCTGCAAGTTGATTATAGAGAGGGTGGAGATGGGCTTTTCTCTGTGGTCACAGGAGACAGGACTGGAGCAATGGCCTCAAGCTGCAAAAAGGAAATTTGGGGTGCAAATGAAGAATTTTTGAACTGTGAAGGTAGTCAAGTATTAGAACAGGCTGCCTAGAGAAGTTGTGGAGACACCATCCCTGGAAATTTTCAAGAGAGGGTTGAACAGACATTTGACTGGGATGGTTTTGTCAGGGAAGATCCTGACTTGAGCAGAGGGTTGGACTAGATGACTTCAGGAGGTCCTTCCTACTTTCCCGTGATCTTTTGATCCTATGCACAAGAGTTTGTATGCTGCTCCATACATACAGAAAACCTGTGATTAGGTTGCTCACAATAAGTCTTGCTGGTCTTATGGCAACTAATTGCGGTTCTCTGAGTGTAGATACTTCATTAGTGATTCCATAGATTTTCTTACAGATTTTGGTCAAGACACCTCTAAAACTTCTTTTATTTTAAGCTTTCATCCTGAGAGGCATAGGTAACACCTCAGATATTTAGGCTGAATCTGTGTCCTAGTTTTTTTTTCTAAGAGCCATCTTTTCCTTTTAGATTTCTAAATCTTCTCCTGCTGCTGTTTGGTCTTTGTGACCGGGACTGTTAGGGGTAGTCAGTGATTGCAGTGGAGCAGGCCTCTCATTGAGAAAGTGCGGGTTTATCTTTTGCTGCTACTTCTGCTGGCATGGGCTTTTTTATCCATCTAAATTCCTGTGCACACAACTGAGTCGAGAGGCTAATTTGGAGACCATCAGGCACTTCTTTGGGTGAGTAAGTAGCCTAGTTTCCTATTAAACACAACCTGCCAGATTAGATCTATGAGCTTTTTGTTTTCCATGTTTAATGCGTCCCATTGCTTATTTGATTGTCTGTCGTGGCATCACCAGAATAACGATCCATTACTGTGTTAGAACCAATAGGATTCATACAATAGTATTGTATGAATGAAACTTTCTGCCTGGTTCTCCTCCTTTAATAATTAGAAAAAATAATTAAGCAGATGCCATCAAACAAACATGCATTCATTAGTATACATCAGACATAATTCAGGTTTAAAGCATTACACATAGGCGCAATTAGGTACATTCACACCCACTTGATTCAACACCAACGGCTTAATTACATCTGTTCTGCCTGACTCTGTGTAGTCCTGGACACAACATCATATGCCTGTATGCACGGCAGGAGTGGAAGTAAAGTTGGCATTGTCATCCTCTTAATCCAGTTAATGATTTCCTTCCAGTTCAGCTCAGCTCTAAAACAGAAATAGAGAGAGGAGCTATAATCAGCTTGCAGGTCTACAACCACTCACATGCACCCACTATACAGGGGCATTTAGCAATTAGCTTCTTTATTGTCCTATTTATTTATTAGGTCATATGTTGTACAATTGCACCTCAAGGCAGAAAACGAGCTCAGAGCCCTTTGTGCGAGCAGACAAAAGCCTGTTCCTTCTGGGTTGAGTTCACAGTCTCTACAGAGAAGGTGGACACAGGAAACAAGGTGAAGGGAAAGGACATGACTTGCCTATGACCACATGGTGGGTCGGGGGCAGAGTCAGGAGGAGAATCCAAGCTGTCCGACTCAATACTCTACATGTAGACGGTGCTGCCTCCTCTCAGAACAAAATGTTTCGTGTCAGGGCCTTGTTACACAGTAAGTTTAGGCAGCTTCTTGAGCTCTTAACCCTTGAATTGGCGGCATAATAACACCTTTAAGTGACTTAAAGCACATGTTATTTGGTTTAAAGTTGCACCCCTCCATAGCAGGTTTATCTCTAATGTCCATAATCTTGCTCCTAAAACAAGATTAAATTGTGGCCACTCTCTAGACCTATTCTATTGAAGTTGAACTCCTCCAGCATCCCATGATGCAGTGGTCTCTCATGAGTCAGGGCAAGCAAGGACACCAGGATGCAGAGGGGCCAAGCATGCCCAAGTGCCTCACTCCCGGGGGGCGTTGGGTAAAGCGGTTGCTGCAATCCAGGACCCCATGGCCTCTGCAGTGCCTCCTGCTGCCATCAAGACTGGCTTGCTGATTATGCTGGCAGGAGGGGGAGGCAGTGGGGAAGATGGGGCTCCTCAGTGCTCAGGCAGCGGCAGTGTAGGGGGATGAGCTCAGAGGAAAAAAAGGTTTGAGCCCCTTTTTACATAGGCTCCTAGTCCTGCCCCTGATCACCAAGTCTCCAGTGGCAAGTCACAGCTGTGCAGGTGAATGACAGCCAGAGATGTTTTTTTGTTTCATGGTGTGACTGCTCCACTAAGCTGAACAGCTCTAAGTGGATTAACATTCATGTGGCTTAAAGCATAAGGTGTAACAAGGCCATGAGCATTGTTTCCCCAAAGCATCCCAGCATGGACCCATGTTGCACAAGGGGCTTAAATGCAGAGATGTGCTAAAGCAATAGGAAGGGGTAGACTATATGTTGTTGTCACAGAGCAGCCGTCTCCACCAAAGACTGCCCCTAAGGTGCC